CCTGTTTTTGTCACCGATCCTTTTTTCTAACCGCCCCCCCCCCCCCCCCATTAACGGACGACCAGGGTGACCCTTCCGCTATGCCAGGCACACACACGTGACCCTTCCGCTATGCCAGGCACACACACGTGACCCTTCCGCTATGCCAGGCACACACACGTGACCCTTCCGCTATGCCAGGCACACACACGTGACCCTTCCGCTATGCCAGGCACACGCACGTGACCCTTCCGCTATGCCAGGCACACACACGTGACCCTTCCGCTATGCCAGGCACACACACGTGACCCTTCCGCTATGCCAGGCACACACACGTGACCCTTCCGCTATGCCAGGCACACACACGTGACCCTTCCGCTATGCCAGGCACACACACGTGACCCTTCCGCTATGCCAGGCACACACACGTGACCCTTCCCCTATCCCAGGCACACACTGAACCCTCCGTTAATGCCAAAAATGATAGAAGCAAGTCGCGGCAATTCCTGCTAAGAGGTGAAAACTGTGGCAAAAACCAAATAAAAGAATGAGGTTACAAAGCTCACCAGCAGGTTATGTTAGTCTTTACGAGAAGTACGCAAAGGAGGCAAAATAGTGGTCGTAGTCAAAGGCAAAATAAGATTGGCCGCTAATGCCCGCCCGAGAAAGTAACTCAATCACACGATATTAGAATAACATTCACGCAGGCTGGAAAGGGCAAAGGTCTTGTCCGAGGGATGTAAGTCCAAGCCTCTACTTTCGGCCACCCATCAGACAGCAAGCTTGTAGGTGGGCGATCGAAAGACAGCTACCATATTCGAGGTGAAAACGTACACATAGTCATGGTAATTAGGCACACACATAGACACACACACACACACACACACACACACACACACACACACACACACACACACACACACACACCACACACACACACACACACACACACACACACACACACACACACACACACACACACACACACACACACACACACACACACACACACACACACACACACACACACACACACACACACACACACACACACACACACCACACACACACACACGCACACACACACACACACACACACACACACACACACACACATGTACACACAAAAGCACACACAGCAGCATGGTCCATCTAATGTATCACGAAGAATTATGCCTTGCGAGAGACTGATCTTTTGTGAGCCTCTTCATGCAGTTTTTTGTTGTCTCAATAGCATCTTAGTGTAAACAGGGCGTCCATTTCAGCGCGGGCTCGAAGTGAGTTTTCAGTGCACTAAGGAGATTAACTGCTGCTTTGCAAAGTCCCTAATGCTAAGTATCTTAGGCTTGTTAAAATGGGATAGCAATGCGTCAGTCTGTGTTGATTAGCAACAATTCTAATTGAGCGCTTCTAATTGCGATCGTATCCGATAAATGGAAGCCTTTTCCCTTCCGCCAGTAGTGTCGTCGGTCCTCCACGCGGCACCTACCGCCAACCACTCAGATAACTTTTTAACCGATCAGGGTTCACGCCGTGCCGCGGAAGCTTTGTTATTAGCAAATCATGCTCATCACTGTCGAAGGCCTTTTGTAGATCAGCCTCTGTCATCCAATATATTTCTTAGCTGTCGGTGTTTCTCACCAGCTCTGTCACAGGGTCGAGCAGAGCGTTCTCAGTACAGTGACGTTGCCGTTGTGCATATTGGGCAGTGCAGAAAATACCATTGTTATCGCGACGCGGGCTGAGCTGGCTGCAAACGGTTCTTTTAAGAATTACGGACAGCATACTGAAAAAATATGAGCCTTAACTGGTACAGTTGGATCGCCTGATTTCAGTATGGGTGCCGCAACATTAATTTCATGCAGTTCTCCATCAGTTGGAAAATACCCGAGTTATAAGGGAGGGAGTAATTCATGATCCACATAGCATGCGCACTGACCACAGGAAAGCACCGTCGCACTGCTATTATGGGGACGGTTTCCACACCCACAGCTCTCGAGCTTGTCACCCACCGGGACGACAAGGGTAACTCAGGGAGAGTAGTGGACTTGAAAGTGAAAGAAGTCACGCAAACAGTGGGCAGCCGGGGTAAATGTCCGGTGCTGCCTCTCAGTGTGGCGTCAATACGTGACCCAGCCGTCGCAAAATGACGGTTGAACTCGTCAGCCGGTCAGGGCTACCTTCAAAGAGATCTTTTCGGTCTGCGGATGACGTCGTCGCGAATCGTTTGTGAAAGTATGCCAAAGTTGTGCCGGCCACGAAATTTATTACGCGACAGGTGAGCTCACTTTGGCAACTAAGATGGCGCACTTAATGCTGTTTCGTAGCCGTGTGAAGTCCGTGTAAGTCTTTGGGGTGCGCGGAGCCAGCCAGGTGCCCTCACTGTGTCCTGCTCAGAATTCAAAGCCCGCAGCCGCGGGTTAATTATGCAGCCAGTGGCAGCTGGGACGCTCCACGCAAGCAGTTTTACCGGGCAGGACAACCCACCACATCTTTCCATTTTTTCATGAATGTTTTTGCCATCACGTTCACAGCATTCGTGTCGCGCAGTTCCACCACATAGGCGGCGAGCAGGCCCATCCAGATAGCGCCCCAGACAGCCGGGTGCCAGCCCCGAGTAGTGCGTTTCTGGGCTAGTTGTCTCACCTTGCCCAGCCCCGCAGTGACGGCGGTGGGCTGATGATCACTGATGGTATCAGGGAGGATACTGACTGCTGGTAGCGGATCGAGTTGATTTGTGATCGAGTGGTCAAGTGCCGTGGGCGTTGGTAGAAGGTGAGCAGGTCTGATCCCCCAGCTGTGCAATGTTCATGCCGCTGTTCGAGTTGAGTTAGTGCTGGACACCTGGGATACTCAGTGCCAAGACGTGGATGTTCATGTCTCCCAAGAGAGAGGTTTGTTAGAAGGAGCAAGGCACATCGCGAAGCTGGTCCTGTATTTGGCCCAGACTCGCAGCCGACAGGCCGTCGGGTGAAAGATTCTCCAGCAGTGATGCATGGATGTTGACGTCAACCTGGACATGGCGCATTTATGGGAATCGGTGGCAGAACTGAGGTGCCGGACCCCGCTACCAGACTCATGCAGGTGAGCCCCCAGTTAGGAAAGTACCAGGACAGCGGGAAACACATTCTAGAGTATTCTGTATGTAACAGTGTTATGTATCTACAAGTGTGTTGAATAGTCACCACACGCGGGCCACGCAGACATTTAATTTGCGCCTCAATACTCATATTTTTTTCGTTCTTGCCCTCTACGCATTGTCGGAAGTAATCTCAAACTCAGCTGGTCGCCAAGGCGAACGGACGACGTTTGTTTCCGCCCACGCCCTCGGCCGCTGGTAGAACCGCACGTGCCGTTCAGGACCTCGTGTGAGGCGGGTAATTTTATCGCCACCACCCGCCTGGCCGGGTCTGCCAGCTTGTAACGGGGCAAACCTGACGCCCGGTCTCCAGCGGCCGGGCGGCGGCTGGGCCGGGGTGGTCAACAATAAACAGCTCACTGAGAGCACGCTCCCAGCGACGATGTCCGCCCAGACGATCAATCGCCGCGGTGAACGGAGGCGCCGATGACGCTGCGCCGCCAGCACGAGAACAGTGACTCGGGTGTGGAGTACATGGCGGATGTCGATCACACCCGGTACTGCCTTCTCCTGACGTGGCCAGTCGCCGACGGAATGCGAGTGAAAGGTATGGCACTTGTCTAGAAGGGCATTGCATTTTCGCCATTTGAAGGCACATTTGGCTTAACTAGCCAAGTTCAATGTGCTTTTTCAAAGCATGATATGAATTCACGAATTATCACAAAACAATGTTTTTTTTTTGTTACGCAGCGTGTCGAAATTCCAAACTCCGACAAACAACCATTTATTGCACTGACACGCCTTCACAATTCATGTTCATTCCGCAATAATGCATATATTGCTTATCATAATGCATATGATAAGCAATGAATGCATATTTCCAGCAGGATTACAAATGCCGTTCCCTCGGACAGAATGGTGTGAAGCTGAATGTAACTGATTCGTTGAAAGCCAGTGAATAACGACGTTTTTAAACCAAGGTCTTAGAGCAACACAAAAAAAAGAGATCGACCATATCCTCAGTCCAAATACGATCGAGGGCCCTTAACGAAGATTGCTTCGTGTAGCCTAAAATACAGGTCCCTATCGCTCATTGTGCGTACACCTACGCACGCGACACCATCACCTGTCGGCGAGACACTGCAGTCGCTGACCCCCGTCGGAAGTTCCGGCCCTGGTCGTGCGCCGAACATGACGCATCTCAGCATGACCGCGCTGGGTCTACGAACCGACGGACTGCTAGCTCTTGAGCACTCTTCAACTGAACGTTCTTCAACGCTGGCAGCTGTCCCGCCAGTCAGTCATTTCTCAGGTACGATTTCAGCCATCCTCCGACTGAAAGAAAGACAGGGAAAGAGCCCCAGATAATTGTGCCCATGCGATATGCTTACACGCCATGTGCTTATATTCAAGGATGGAATGAATCGTTCTTCTCTTCATGAGGAAATATTTGCACAAATCCGTATAGGTCACCTTAATCTTTGTCAACGGCTTATGGTGAATACCTTGCGCTTCAAGATAGCAACTGATGTGAGCAAAATCTAGCCAGCTAGCCCGATTTCAGAAAACAAAGATTGATGCTGATATGGATCACAATATACTGAGCTCTCAATTACTGCGTCTCATGAAATCTTGCGCACCTTATCGGCATAGGAAACATTACGGCGATTCATTATGGGCGGCGAGGACTGGATGGGGTGGAAAACAAACCTTCATAACGTTTGCCTGCTTGCGTTTTTGGGCACGATGCCGATGATCCCTGAGAAACGGAAACCCAGATTAAGACCGGGTATGAGTTGTATACTTTTTTGTTAATTACGACGCACGTATTGAGTCTCGAGATGATATATGCTGCCGAGCTACACAACTGTATGAGGAAGCAAGGAACACGTAGAGTAGATATTTTCAAAGACCCACTCAACGCTATCACCGAGTTCTTCCCTTAAGAGTTCACGACTTTAAGCAGGGGCCGTGCAACGACACATATAGCAATGCGTCACAAACAGGTCTGGATAACACTCGAAGACCAAGAACGGCACGTCATGAAATAAGACCCGACTCATCCTCGTGTACAAAATGTGGGAAGTGTGTTCAAAGTAGCCGCTGGATCAGAGTTGCTAAACCTGAGGCTCTCTTGCTGAACAGAAGTGAGAAAACAAAACCCGAAATGATGTGCATTATAAGACATACGTTGTATGTCCTACTGCGCTCCTCATCCCAGCTGAAACGCAACACTTCAGCTGAGCGGTACGTATCCTGTCCCTCCCCCCCCCCCCACGCTCTCTCCCTGACCGACCTGGACGCCCTGTGAAATCGATATTGGTGCGCACCGGGCGCCGGTGCAGCGGCTGCGGAGTACGGAAGTTGTCCCCCAGTGGTGACCTGGTGTCATCCGTCTGCAGGCTCTGGCTGAGGCGCCGCAGTTGCTCCAACTGCAGACCGCCAGGCGGCGCGGACAGTGTGGCTGACAACTGCTCAGTCATAACGGCCTAGCTGATTGTACGGGAAACGTGGCAGGTTAGCGGACGGATCCGGCCAGATTTATGTGCCAAGGCTGTGACATGCTCATCATCACGGCACTGCGCGGGCTGAGGATCCAGGGGAGAATGAGATTCGCTGGTTGAAGGAGCATACTTATATACTTTGGACTCGAAAGTAAGTCTGGATGCCGATACTCGGGGTGAGGGCGGGGGGCAGGTACTGTAACGGTGGACCCTCCAAATAAACTTGGACATGAAATAACGATAAACTAGATGCCTCGCACCGAATGTGAAGAAACGGTATTGCGAGGCGTGATGGTTACATATAATAATCTTATCAACACAAATTGATCAAACTGATCTTCTATCAACGTGACATTATTTCCTTCGTATGGTGGTTCAAGACGAAGCCCAGTCAATTGCTTGCACCAGTATGATACCAAGTTCCTAGAGCTTGGCTCCCAGATCCAAGGTCAGCAGATCGTCAGTTTCTATCAGCGCTACTGATATCGGGGATCTCAAGTTGCGCTGTGAAGATATCAGGAGCCATGCTCGATGAGGTGATGGCTGCGTTCCTCACCTGACATCAGCGAACATGCATGATAAGGTCGTGACTGCCTCATCATCTGACATCAGCAAACACGCGTGATGAGGTGACGGCTGTCTCTCTCGCACCAGACATCAGCAGCCATGTGTGAAGAGGTGACGGCTGCCTCCCTCACCTGACATCAGCAGCCATGCATGATGAGGTGACGGCTGCCTCCCTCACCTGACGTCAGCAGTCATGCGTGATGGGGTGACGGCTGCCTCCCTCACCTGACATCAGCAGCCATGCATGATGTGACGGTTGCCTCCCTCACCTGACATCAGCAACCATGCGTGATGAGGTGACGGTTGCCTCCCTCACCTGACATCAGCAGGCCATGCGTGATGGGGTGACGGCTACCTCCCTCACCTGACGCGTTGGTAATATAGATTGGCTTGTTCATCAGAACCCAGGTGACCGACTCGTCACAGCCAGGCCAGGTTAGCGATCCCTCGTAGGTCAGGTAGAACTCGGTGCTGGGCAGCAGTTCGCTGACGCTGACATTCGCCAGACATATCGCATCATCTGCGGCACGTTATTCGAATGCAGACTGGACTAGAAAGAATTGCCAAAAAGATGCGTGAATTAGGGAGCGATCCGCAGAAAACAATCGTGTAATGTTGTCGCCAGTCACGGAAATGGTCGACGTGAAACGAATGATTCGACGCAGATAACGCCAGGTCATCGCCGTACGCAGAATGCGTGCAGATTGACACGTCAGCAAGAGCGTGAGTGGAGGGCTGCTGTGGCGTAAGAGCGTGAGTGGCGGCTGCTGTCGCGTAAGAGCGTGAGTGGCGGCTGCTGTGGCGCAAGAGCGTGAGTGGAGGCTGCTGTGGCGTAAGAGCGTGAGTGGCGGCTGCTGTGGCGTAAGAGCGTGAGTGGCGGCTTCTGTTGCGCAAGACCGTGTGTGGCGGCTGCTGTGGCGTAAGGGCGTGAGTGGCGGCTGCTGTGGCGCAAGACCGTGAGTGGCGGCTGCTGTGGCGTAAGAGCGTGAGTGGAGGCTGCTGTGGCGTAAGAGCGTGAGTGGCGGCTGCTGTGGCTTAAGAGCGTGAGTGGAGGCTGCTGTGGTGTAACAGCGTGAGTGGCGGCTACTGTGGCGCAAGGGCGTGAGTGGCGGCTGCTGTGGCGTAAGAGCGTGAGTGGAGGCTGCTGAGGCGCAAGAGCATGAGTGGCGGCTGCTGTGGCGCGCGAGCGTGAGTGGCGGCTACTGTGGAGCGAGAGCGTGAGTGGCGGCTGCTGTGACGCGCACAACTCACCTCGGTAGGGTGTTGCCACGCTGGCGTCGGCGAGGCGCGCCAGCTGGCGATTGGTCGCCGAGCCTTGCTGGGAAACAGCAACACCCACCTGTCACCACCACCGGACGGCAACACCACCTGTCACCCCACCGGACGTCAACACCACCTGTCACCACCACCAGAAGACGACACAGCACGTGCGGCAGACACGCCGACCAGAAGCCCGGCCTGTGCCCGAATCAGTTACAGCAAAACCGAGGATCGCTATCAGGATGTCTCCAACTGAGACTGTCGGGTTGACAATGTACAGGGTGGACCACCCACCTAGGCGGGTTAAGGATTGAGGATGTGGGGTACGTGGAAGGGGTGTATTTTCCCATGCCGGCTTGGGTTCCGGTTTTGGGAAGGAAGTGGGCCTACTCCGGGAAAACCCCGCTTGTTGACATTTTTTGGACACAGGTTTTGTCATTTTATATTGATCAGCTCCTTTCTCCAATTCATTCTACGCAACAGCGCTCCTTGCTTGGGGTGTCAAGATCACAAAACGTCTTTATTCGGCAGGAAGGTAGGTTCCAAAACATGGACATGACCAGCATCCTATGACCTTGGTCTTGCACGTGTTTTTAATTTGTTTAGGAGGGGAGCTATTAGGGCCTTACAACGCTCTCAGGAGCCGATATTATATCAAACATATCGTCATCGTTCAAATACCAAAAAACATTCATTATTGAATACCAGCGTGCAAGACATGCATGTCTTTGTGACTCAGCGATTCGCGACTCTGCGCTGCCCCGTTTATCACAATCAGTTGTAGAGCTTTATAATACCTGTTAAGTTGTATTCTTGCACACTCCTTACTGCATATACAAATATATATATATATATATATATATATATATATATATATATATATGTAACGTGGGTGTATGGGTGTTTCAGTGATGGCGGTATCATCAATGTTAACCTTAACGCTTGGCTTATCACCATATCGTTTAACACCTTTCAGGTCCGTAGTTAAAAAAGGATAGGCACGCAGAGGCCAGCATTCTTCTCCATCTTTATTAGCGCAGCGAGTGGTCAGATCAATAAGTATGAATTAAAAAGTGTCACAGTAAGTGACGAAACGGACGCACCATTATATACATTGCATTACTACACTTCCTATCAGAAAATTATATATTTCTTATCGTCTTGCTGCATTTTATGTTTCCATTACCGTATCATAAGACATTTTTTGCATTTGCTTAGCGTACACATGTTTTCATATCAGCGTCTGGCCACTTAAAAATACAACAGCGACCAAGTCCACCAGAGTTATAGGGCGGTGACCAGTACCAACCGGACTCATAGTGTAGCAGCCAATCCCACAGGAGCCAGGACAGCTGCCACTCTAGCCAGGGGCCGGGGCAGCGACCCGACTCCAACGAATCCAACCGCAGCCCGGTCCAATAAGACTAGTTCTGTCCACGACTATAACCGAGCCAGCGGGGCAACCAGTATGTGGTCTGAGCCTCTGCGGCGGCCCGCGCTGCTAGAACAATAGAGCAGCAGCTAGTATGCGATCTGAACCTTTGCGGTGGCCCGCGCTGTCAGACATAGAGCAGCAGCTAGTATGTGATCTGAACCTCTGCAGTGGCCCGCGCTGTCAGACTAGAGCAGCAGCCAGTCTCACACAGAGCCAGAGCGGTGCTCAGCCCGCCTGAAGCCCGGCGAAAGTGCCATCATCGGATCCTACGCAGCAGCCGCCCTCCTCCGCCTTCCAGGGGCAACGGCTGGCCTCACCGGATCCATCACCCGATCCAGTGTAGCAGCCGCTCTCTCCGACCCCAGGGCAGCGGCTGGCCTCACCGGATCCGTCATCGGATCCAGCGCAGCAGCCCGCTCTCTCGACCCCAGGGCAGCGGCTGGCCTCACCGGATCTAGCACCCGATCCAGCGCAGCAGCCGCTCTCCTCCGACCCCAGGGCAGCGGGTGACCTCACCGATCCGTCATCGGATTCAGCGCAGCAGCCCGCTCTCTCCGACCCCAGGGCAGCGGGTGACCTCACCGGATCCAGCACCCGATCCAGCGCAGCAGCCGCTCTCTCCGGGGACCCCAGGGCAGCGGCTGGCCTCACGGATCCGGCGTCGGATCCAGCGCAAGCAGCCGCTCTCTCCGTCCCCAGGGCAGCGGGTGACGTCATCGGATACCAGCACCGGGTTCAGTGCAGCAGGCGCTCCCTCCAAGCTCAGGACAGCGGCTGGCTCTCACCGGGGCCAGCTCCGGAGCCACGGCTTACAAACCAAACTGGGAAAACCATGAAGGTTTCACGGTAGTTTTAAATTTCAAGCTTCCCAATAATAACCCAACAAAGCTCCACAGAATGCCTAGGATAACAGCCACTCCGATGCGCCTTCTAGGGCCATTTGTTTTTTCCGCCCACCTTACCTCAAGGGGCTTACCTAAATTCTCCTTTGTGCATTGGTTCTAAGAACCAATGCTATTTTGTACGATTTTTTAGTTTGCCCGGTGATTTGGATAGCGAGTTGCCGTCCCCGACTGTACCTTAGCTAGTGCAGCACTCAGCTTGGCATCTGAACCTTTGGTGGATGATTTGTTAGTCCTGCAACTTGCTGGTTAACGGAACCAGCCATCGAATGCCATAATGGGAAGCAGTAGTCATTGTATTATAACATAAGTAAGCTTAATCAGCATTCATTTCGGTCAGCCATAGCTGGAAAGCCTTTGCATGAATAATAGATCGTTGCCCTAAAAAGGACGAAGCGAACGCAAAAAGAAATGCCGGTTCCTCCCGACCTAAGCTATGCTCCAGCATAAGCATATGAGCCTTGAGTAAAGAAAACTGATTACGGGTGTCGAGCAAGGAAAATGCTGTGATTCCAAGGTGTCAACCGTTTATTTTTTGGTTCTATCGATCGTAAAACAAACGTCGCTAGAAGCAGCTCCCTGAACAACTGCCTACAGGAACCAACAGTATGTAAAAAGTGCCGTGGTATTGCCCCACTTTCTTAACTTGACTTTTCAGTTCGGCCGTGCACCCCAGGCATGGCTGCCGGTTTCCGAGCCAACATTCTGCCCTGCCGCCGCGCCCGAAGTCCTATCTTCATTACATGGGTGTTGTTTCGTATTCTGCGGGGGAGGGCTCCAGCCCCCCTTCCTCAGCTTGGGCTCTCGTCAACTTTGGGAAGAAAGTGTGCCAAAATATGGGGATGTGGGCAAAGACCCGATTGGTGGCCTATTTGGGGATAGGTTTTGCCATTTTTCACACTTCAACACCCCCAAATTCATTTTGCGAGGCTATGCCGCTGCTTCATTCCCCGCCCACGTTCACTTTCCACCCCCATCCCGGAAAACCAGCTTCACTTCCACGCATCACTCCTCGCGATTGCTTCAGTAAAGGCGGGTATCATGTGCTGCGGTGAACGCATCGCCGCACGCCCACATGACAACATGCAGGCAGGACATCTCACCTGAACTAGCACCGCGACGATAACAATGCTGCTGTTGCCGGAGGCCGCAGCTGTCAGGTTTGGATACAGGTTCGCGTTGTATCCCAACAGCTGGACCTGCGGAGGGGTGGCCACGCGTCCGGCGGTTAGGCTCCGTGAAACGGCAGCTAACCGCTGTGCGGCGTGCGGCCTGCCCGCACCATGCCTGCTGTTTTTGTGGTATGGGCCTTCGAGCGAAGGACCGTTGTTGTAATCATGCCGTATGGTGGAGAGCAATGAACTTCGCTTCCCGCCAGTGATCTCATGATTGTCAGGTGGGTAGTCAGTGCGTAGAGATCAGACGGTGTACAAATTCACCCGCGTTCGAGCAATTGCATGTGCGTGTTCGTGCCGAACATCAGATTGCATTAATCGCCCTCCTGCGCGTGAAAGTCATGCTGCGTATTCTGGCGTTACAGATGGTATTTCCCTGCCCAACTCACGCAAACAGAGAGATTATTAATATGTACTTTGAGCCAGCCACCGGTGCAATAATTAGGTTTCACAGTTACGGCAAGGTCAACGTGCGCTTATTGCTTATGTGGTCGTTCTGAAGCATGCTAAACACAAATATTTTATAAAATGTCACAGCTGCACCCTAAGAGCGCCTTAATTAGAGCAAAACGAACTCGGAAGTCTTACTTCAGCCGGAAATGGCTTTCCGGATATTTGGTGTTCCGACCCCCGAGCGTTCTTCATTCCGAAGTGGATGTGCACTTCTTGGAACTGATAACTGTGTATAAAAGGTCAGATGAGCAAACAAACAGCACTGAAGCCGCGACAAAGCCAAGCAAGAAAAGACGAAAGCAGACACTCAAGTTCGGAATTGTTACCACAACAATAGATGGCTATTCCTTCCAGGGGGCATAATGACTGAGTGCCCGGCCTTCAGCTCCCGCGTGGGGGCCCGGGCTCGAATCCCGGTAAAGCTATGACCTCTGAGCGCTGATATGACATCTACAGCCGCTTCGTGTCATGAAGGGATTCGCGACGACACGCGACGCATTACTGCTTTTAAAGGTGGACTACTGAACCCGTAGCTGAGCGAGGCACCGGTGATATTGACCTGACCCCGGTGCGAGTCCAGTACGCTGAACACCAGCCCGTGCCCGGAGTTCCTCAGGCAGCCCGACACCTGTCACAGGCACAGCCTCAGCGTCGCACACGTACAGCACCTTGTTTCAAAGTTTGACGCTGTGATTCGGCGGAGGGCCGTGGAAATAGGAGCCGCGTTGGGTTGCACCTGACACGAATAGCGTGTCTTAGAGTAAGTTGGGTGCTATCTCGTGCTTGCAACAGACACAAGACGGTTCGGTTTCACAGCTTGGCGGGGCCTGACACATGACACATCATCCCTGAGTCAACTGATAGCGCACCAGCTGCTGGGACAACCAAAACTGATCCTTCGGTAGATTACAATCACGGCGGCTGCGATTGGTGGAAAATATCTGAGTAAACCAATCCCACCAACCGTGTGCACAGAAAGCAAAAGCCACAGACATCAAAATGAGGCAACGTAAACTATCCACATCCTTTGGCACATGTCACGTGAGGTCGGTGATACATTTGGTGCCAGATGTTCCAAAAAAGCGCGGGAAGGTGCAACACATTTTCATTTTGCACGATGTTGCATGAATAAAGCAGGCCAGCGAACTGGATCGCGCTTTGAGATGTGACGATGGCAGAAAAGTGCAGAGATGCTGCAAGCAAAAGACAGGGCTATAGTCAAACAGTCTTCACAAAATCTACGTGAGTTTAATAAGGCAAGGTAGTGCCAACCGAACGGAGCGTTGCGTAAAGGACGTCTAAAAATGCAATGAGCTGCTTTTAAAATGCGGACAAGCAACACAAGACGTCATATACAATTAGGCAGAATATGGCGGGACACATACGGCGGCATTGTCGACGTGTAGATAGCCCAGTTGTGGGTCGAACAGAAGTGAATCGGGCTCGACGTTGATGGGCGACTGCCGACGACCCTTGTGACACGTGCCCCAGTCCGGGTTAAACACCCCCCAGTACGAGGTGCCTGGCGGAATAAACGAGTGTCGGAGCGAGAACGAGAACGAGAGTACACGTGCTGGTCGGCCCAGAGCTTGATGCGGCGTTCCGCGCCGTTTCAGGAATCGACACATGGTGTTCTTAGCCCGTCTGGTGTGAAGATGACGTTAAACATTAACAGGGAAACTGTAACTCAATGCAAAATAACCTGTACAAGCTTGGTATATTGCAGTAAGTAGACATATCTGTCACCCCAAACTGCTGGCAAGTGAGTCGTCTGCTTCAGGTTAGACATTGCCAAAAAGACCATGATCGATACAAAATCAGTACACATCGCAGGTAACCAATGGTCATTAGGCCACTCGTTCACAATTACATCCGAAAAGTAGAAATGGCCTTGAGACCTTATTGATCCCTGCAAGTGCTAAAATGTGCTGTGTATGCAATACTGCTTATTCTCCAATGTGCAAAACGTCAGCCGACGCAAACTCATCCCCGCAAATTTCGCATAGGCTGTGCACTTATCTGTAGCATGGTCTGAACATCGCACGTAATACTTGCAACGAGTGATGACGATGTTAAACGCCAGATTTGATTTAAAAGACAGGTTCCAACGAAAATTGGCGACTCCTAAAATACGCAGTGTATGTATCATCAGCTCCATATATAGGGCAGTCTAACGGGACATTCGCTTCAGTGCTCTAACTCCTAGCTTCTAACGTACCTGATATGCCATCGTAGGTCCACCACTGGTCCCAAACGACGCAACTCACACCTGGGAGAGCCAACTTTGTGTACACACTGCAGGTACACATGTGCCGAACAGAGACGCTGGAGTGACGCCGAAAAGGTCGTCACAGACACTTGATGCAGTGACTGCCTGTGATCTGGGTCACCTGGTGACATTTCCGATGTCACGGCTGGTGCATTTCTCCACTGATAGTTAGTTACGTGGTTTTGGCGAGCCCAGCACAGTCAAACAGATATTCATACAGAGGAAAAGGCACATACACGTACTTACATACATGCAAACAGAAATATACACCACGCCGCGAGACTCAGTTTTTTGGCCTGCGTCATGTATGACAGGTTAGGTTCTGACGGGAGCTTTACGCTTGCGAAACCAACTGTAAAGCACGCCACTTGGAACATCGTGTCAACGTCAGCGGTGGTTCAGATGCTTGATGCGGCAGTGCCTTACCTAGAACCTTACAAAGTGGTAGGCCCATACTGTCAGCGGGGGTGAGCCTCATGCTATCTTATGGCTGCAGTCATCAACGCATCTGGAAGTAAAAGCAAATCCTCTGAAAACTGCCACAAAGTTTGGCCCATGCTGCACGTTGGCAAGGGAGACGTTCGAGAGCATGCATGGTAGGCTGCAATTTTTCCTCGTTGAGAGATTAAGTAGGCGGAAAGTTTCCACCGAGGAATTTCGATTAAGTGCCATGAATTGGCTGGGGCTATAAATGCACGTATAATTATGTCGGTCAACATCAAAGGAGCATGACGATGAACACATGCGGCTCCCGATGTTGAAGATTGACACGCACATTATAAAAATATGTGCCACAATTTCAACGTCAAATGCGAATGATTACATTGAAGATAAAGTCCATAAACATAGCGTGCTGTGAACAAACGACAGGCATGTATGTAAACACATAACAACAATATATTACAACCGCCTTAAAATGCATCCTTTGGCAGATGCGTTGACCACCATACGCGATTGTCATATTATAAAAAGGATAAAATCTAGGATTTACAAACCTGAGTTAGGAAACTTCACTCTCCAAAACGAATATCTGCACTTTGAAGCGCCCCTGTCATAAATGCATATTTTTTAAAGCCTACGTTCGTGGCTTAACCTGACCGAGTTGCGGAGCGGCACGAACTGACCCCAGCATGACCGCGACCCCGCAATGAGTGCGCCCTCGGCTCACCTGACCTGTGGCCTCAGTTTGTCCAGGGGCGGCGCGTTCCAGCTGAGGCCGCCTGACCCACACCGCCGTCAGCTGGGACTGGCTCCGTCTCCGACCCACCGGAGTGCCCGGCGCGTACCGGCGCGCGTCGATGCTTGCGGTCGAGAAGTGTCTCTCACAAGCATCTGCGTCGAGACTGGGTGGTTGCGTGCCTATAATTTAGCCCAAGCGGGGTGCGTGACAATGTTCCAATCAGAGCCGCAATCAGGCCGACACGCCATTTTGCGACGAATGCAGCTTATTTAGCTCAACTTCATGCCCTTGTAACACGCATAGCATTCGTGGCGCATGTCATGTGTCATATGGTGTGAAATATCAATGTAGGAAGAAAGCGCTCGAGGGGCACTGCCCTCCCGTCCACCTTAATGATCGTAAATTTCGAACGTTAGCTCTATGGCAACGTTCTTAATGGTCGACTTTGAAGAGGGCCAAAATATCACAACTTTTCAGGCTTCGACGCCCTGTTATTAACATCTCCCAACATCGGGCTTTCGTTGCGACTGCTGTGCTATGGACTATGAATTCCCCTTTGCAGAGGAGTTGTGACCAAAATAAGGAATCCATACAGCTCAGAAGCAGGTAACCTGCTACATCTTAAAACTATGCCTCAAACATATTTTGTGGAAGTCCTTATTACTTGCAGCACGTAGGTCGCGAACGCATCAGTCTGCACAAAATGCCGGCAATGTTTGTCGCTGCTCGGAGCGCACTCAGCTAGTTTGTTCACCGAAATTGAAATGTTATATAGCTTACTCACTTGATATCAAAATGAGAGGCCCTCAGCTTCTGTTTCCTCGGCATGATGAGTTCTGGGCTCTCATGGTAAGTTATCGACCTCCAGTTTGGACGGAACACTGATTTAACGGTGTTATGGTGCAAACATTGGTTATATTGGCAACGGCCTGGTTACACCGGCGATATTGACGCTCGAAGTTACCATAAGCCGAGTTTGAAGCGTTGAGCTCCGTCAAGATAACCAATGTTTGCACTGTGGTATCGTTTTATCAGCACCTATTGTAAACTGAAAGTAAATGACGGCGGATGAAAACTTTGAGCTCATATTGTATCGTGCTTTTTAGAATCGATGCAAATTATATTCCGTTGCGAAAGGAAATTTGGGCCAGACTGGAAATGTCAGCGGCCGGTGACAGCAGCGGCCCTCAGGGTCAAATGATGTCAGAAGGTATGATAAGGCGTGCAGAGGATTACGGAGCTTGAAGCTTTCGCCAGAAAATTCTTCCTTGCTCCGAGATTTCACGATGATCGTATATTGGGGTTAAAACTCAAACAGCAAACGCTACTTAACGCGCGACATGCGATCCTAGAAACCCCATCCAATAAAGATATCCGGCATGCTTGTTAAAAACATGTTAGATTATTTTGACAGAGTGCTGATTGCACTGGACTGGACTGGGCTCATAATTAAACAGACATTACACTACATAATATGATAAACTACGGACTCGAGATGCCAAACTTTATCTAAAAATATCGGAGACAAGCTTCCTGCTTTGGGCCTTCCTGGAGAGTGAGTTTAGAGAAAAACAAAGACAAACATAACACCAGTGCGCCCAAAAATGTATGCTCTTGTCGATTTGGGAAGTCATCTACGAAGATCGTTACACTGATGGAACTAAGACCCGCAGGCTACTAGACTCACGAATACCGTGCACACATAAACACGCGTGCATCTTACATATCGCTATTCTACAAGTAGATTCTGCACATTACCGTTCCACCTATATATCTTTATTATTCCAGGCCCTAGTGATTGGCATCATCGCGACATCGCGACATATGTCATGAGATACATGGCATGTACGACATATATGTGAGTGTGACACATAGCGAGCACCCAAAGCGACTCGATCTCACCCCGCTACAGATGGTGGATCGGAAGGCAGATGCTCTAACCAACTGATCCATCGGGACGCACAGAGTTTTACCTTTGACTTTCGATTTCACCTTTACTCAGGTACCACATATGAAAAATAACTGCAGAAATGAGCTCCCTGCCATCAAACACCTCTGCAGCACGGTATCACACGACAATCCAAGTCAACGGGATCAGACTTAAGGTCGGAACTATGGTGTTCACTATGGTGGAGAGATCGGTGTGCCGACAGCACCGGGCAGGTGTAGCCAGACCGAAGAATGATGGCAAGTAAGCACAGTCAAGTCCCTGGTTACAAGCGTTGTATAAGCAATAGTACGTCGAACTGAGTGCAGCTTTATTGGTAATGAAGAAGGATGTGCAATATGAAGCACGAACAGTGCCCACGGGTACCCAGTGCCTTTGTTTGATGCTAAATTGGGCACCGATCAATGGCGGCAACGGCTCGTCCCCGGCCGCCGCCTTCGCCTTCCCCCTGCCGGCGATCTTCTTCATGACGCGCTGGTCAGTAGCTATGTGCTGCCAAAGACACGCACCGCAGTGACCAAGCACGTCAGGCAAGCTCTCCAGACGGCAGCTGCACGGCAGCGCTGCCTTGAAAATCGTGCGCTGGCGGCCTCACTGACCGCATTGATGGCAAGAGGTTGCGTTCAGCGCAGTGGAGGAAGCTCTATCCTAATCATCCTAACCCATTCAATCTATGCTAATCATCCGTCCTAATTATCGACGTATTCAGTTCGACCAATCCAAAGAAATAAAGTGGAACATGACGGAGATTGATGCAATGACCCCACCGGGCATATCTTGGTACCTCTCCGCACAGTCCCCAGCCACCAATGGCCGGAGCACAGTCCCGCTCTGCCCGATACCCAGGGCCCGCCCCAAAACAATAGTTACTGCGATGGCCGCCAGGGGGTCGCGAGATCCCGAGTCCGATCAGTCCAGTCAAGACAGAAGCCATCCGGTGAGAATTACGTGCAGCTGAAAGGAAGGAAACTACGTAACGCTTGTTTAATGCAAAGTGTGGTGCAAATTGTACCGTGTATTGTAC